CATTTTAAATAAATGGTTAGGATAGAGCTTACTGAGAAGGTAGGATATGAGCAAACACTTCCAGGGGGTAAAAGAATTAACCTCATGGGTACTGAGCATTCAGGAAAAGAAAAGAACCAGCTCAAAGGTCCTGGGAGGGAGAGTGCCAAGCTTTATGGAGAGGCAGTATGCTGACAAGTGTGGCTAAGTGGAATGAGCTGGGAACGATGAATAGGAGTGAGCTCGGAGAAAGAGTCATGCCCGGTCACGGGCAGCCTTGGAAGGCCCTTGGGCTTCATTCTCAGTATACAGAGTACTACCCAAGTCCTTTAAGAGATTTTGTCACAGATGTCAGCTGGATCCACTCAGCCCATGTGCCTCTCTGTAACTCAACCTGGAAGACTCCCTTTCTCAGGGATTTATAAAAACAGCACATAGATTAACTTAGAATGACTTAACCTCTACTAGGCAGGGAACTATGCACTGTTTATGAAGCAGTTAATTTAGCATAATTATTTATGCAACAAGCTATAAATAATTTATCCTGTGGTCAAGGTTTTAACTTCCAACCCCTCTGCTTGAAGGCAATGGTGAAGCCCAACCCAAGTGCGACTATGAGAAATGTTGCTCCTTGGTTGTGTTGAGATTTCCCAATGTTTTCATCATGCTGCTTCTGATCTGCTCCTGAGTCCTACATTGAGAAGCATCGGCACAGATCGATCCTGGCATCAGGGCTTTGTGTGAATGGCAGACAATTCTCCATCTCAGCATTTGGAGCCATTCCAAGTTCACCTGTTAAGTGTAGACCCTTCACCAGTCTGTGGTGCTGAACAGCTCACACAACCCCCGCCTCTTCCGACTTGCTACTGACCCACCTGTGCAATGCAGATGCATCAAGAAGTTTTCTCTCTTTCAATGGACTCTGCACAAGACCTCCTTCTTCCACTCACTACTCAAAAGGGGCCCCTTGCCCCATGTGCTCCTGTATTCTCTCCCACCTCCATTCACTGACCTCTGCACTGAGCTTCATGTTTGGTTTATATGTTTCATCTCATTTTATAATAATTAAACTTCTCAGTATAATATGGTAAGGGAATGGATCCTACATTTTGGATAACCCAGGAATACTTGATCCTAATTTGTGAAAGTAATTGTGAAGAGGACATGGACTATAATACTATGGTCACTTTGTCATATTTATTTCTCCAAGCTTTAGCCCTCTCTCAATGTGTAGTAGGGATTGAGGGTAGAGAAGAGATTTGACTACTGTAACAAATCTTTTCTTTTAATCTAGCATAGTTCCAAGCATGCTATAAAATCAACTATTTATTGAGTACCTCCTGCGTACCAGGCACATGTGAGGTACCTGCACATACAATATCTAGCTCATAGTCATAGATACGCTGTTTATCATCCCCATTTCACAGAAGGGCTCAAAGAGTTTCCAACACTAGTCAATGACAGTGCCAAGACGTCCCCCCAGGTCTGCCTGACTCCAAAGCCTGAGCTCTCCCCACCCCCTAGCCTGTCCAACTCCTTCATGGGAGTGGTAGTTGTTTCTGTTTCAGAAAACCTAGGAACCAGGTGACTTTCCATTCCAATGAGCCAACAGGTACATATGACAGCTGCCTCCTCTGATGATTCAGAGCCCATCTTATTAATTCTGTCTGGCATTTTAGATGCCCCCTGATTGAGAGAAGACATTCTTAACACTCCCTAGCCCTTCATTAGCTCACGGACTGCTTACTGTTTATGTTCTAAAAGGGTATGTGTTTATGTGCATTGTCAGTGTGTGGATAAGAGTCAGTGTGACGTCAGCAGCAGGGTCATCATCCAATTAGGAGCCATCACCTGTGTTCTCCTCCCATTCCCATGTCTAGATAGATGTGCACCTGGCACATGACACTTGCCCTCTCTGAGCCTCAGTTCCCTTCTCTGCTCACTTCCTTTCCTTTCTAGCCATTGTCCCAGACACACTGAGTTCTTCCAATCCCCCTGCCATGAATCCCAGCCTGCCCACCTCTTCATGTGCTAGTGCTTCTTCCTCACTTCCTCCCCACCTTGTTGACTCCAATGCATCCTTAAAGCCATGATCTAAAGCTGTCCTCTGTGGAAATCTTCTCTGGCTCCTGGATGAGTTCACATCCTGTATGTCACACATTCCTGTAGCACCCTGCTCTCTGTTGTCTTTGCACTGGTCTCAATTGTTTTACTCCCAATGGCCTGCTTTACACACCAGATCGTATGCAGCACCAGCCTGTGTCTGTCTTGCCCCCACGACATGCTACCCCAAGTACCGGACCTGATACACTAAGGATGCTCAGTGTTTACTTATGAAACTTATTTAAGTTTTAAAATCTTTCAAATAGGAATGACAATAGCCTGGGCTGTTCTACTGTCCATCCCTTTGCTCTGTGACAGTCAAGAGAGGAAAAACCCATAATCACTATAGAAACGTTTATGGAAAGTGCACGCCGTGTCAATTACTATGTGGACTGCTCTGCAAGTATTATTTCACTGAGCTCTCACACTAATCTTCAGATCTCACTCTTCCAGATGAGAAAAGTGAAGCTTAGTAAGGGTAAGTAACCCACCCGAGAGCACAGGGGTAATGTTCTGCTCTGAACACAGGTCTTCGGTCTGTAGACCCTTAACTGCTACACTAAACTATTTTATGAATGGCTGTGCTGTATTTTAATGTCATGTTTAGCACTGTCAGGTGAAAAATATAAATGCACTTTCAGGCACACAAATTCAACCATTCCTATGCTTATGCTTAGCCTACCTGGCAGTAATGTGGGACTTCAGTTATACACCAAAAAAAAAAAAGACTTATCTGTGACTTTCCTGTTCTTTTCTGCTCTCTTTGTTAAGGAGAATGTTTTCATTTCCGAAAGTGGAACCCACAGGTCTAATACGTTGATGGTGCTTGTCCTACAAAAGGCGGGTGAGAGAGCAGAAATTGCCACCAGAGCGTTTCCAAGCAGCACCATCTGCCAGTCTCCTGAAACACCATCAGCCCCCAGCACCACCATGTAGACCCTTTTCCTCCACCTCACCTCATTCCTCCCTCAGCCTCAGGCTCTGACCACAGATCCTCTCTCTCTCCAGTTATGTGCAAACTCAAGGGACAAAAGATTCCTCACCTTGGGTTCTACTGGGAGCCCCTAAAGGACCCCTAGATGCAGAGCCCAGGAGAAGTTGACTGTCCCAAGAAGCCCCACAGCCAGAAAATGGTAGGCCCAGGCTGGTGTTGGGTGTTTTCTGTGGCCCATTCTGCACTAGCCCTGTTCTAGTTGCTCAGGCTACTGAGCTGCACAGGAGAAACTCTCAGCCAATAACTCAAACAGGCAGAAAACACCAGCAATCCAACCTGGTAATAATGACAACAGTGGCTAATGTGTTGAGTTCCACCAAGAAGTCAGGCAGAGTGCTAAGCCCTCTATAGCTCTTTTAATCCTTCCCACAGCCCTGTGAGGGAAGTACTGTTATTATCCCCCCTTTTACAGATGAGGAAACTTCTGACAAAAAAGGTGACTTGGTCCATCCATGGTGGAGCCATCATTCAAATTTGGGCCTCTAGATTCAAGAGTCTCAGCTTTTAACAACTAAACATTACACTGCCATCAAGATGTTGTGGGTAGGATGACTCAGAATCGCAGATGATGAAGTCTGACTTCTCCTGGGAATATTTACACAAAGAAAATGACATTTGCCCTGGTTCTTAGAGGAGAAGAATCAGCCAGGATGACAAGGAAAAGAGGACTTGAACATGGAAGGGATGCCATGTGCAAAGGCCTAGAGGCACATAAACAATAACATGGTGGAAAGTTTCATTGAACTAAACATCAGGGGCCTTTGTGGCAATGATCAGGAAGGGATCTGAAGAAATAGACAGGTCAGGTGATCAAAGACCTTAGGAACTTGACTTTAGTCCTGGAAACACTTTGGAGCCATAGAAAGCATTTTCTAGCAGGGCAATGACAAAACCATGCAGCCAGCCAGCCGAAAGAGATCCAGAGCAGGGTTGAATTCTAGCCCAGAGGGTGGTCCACTGGGAGATGAAACAGAAAAGAGAAGCCTCAGCTAAGGCAGTGACACAGGATGGGAAGAAGTGAGTCTCCTGGGAGAAGGTGAAATGAAGAGAGAGGAGAAGCGATGTTGACCCCTGTGTCTCCGCCCCGAGTAACAGAAGCTGCCTTTGCTGAGGTAGCAAACACAGCTGAAAAAGAGCTGCTATTTGTTTGGCTTGTTTTCAGGGTGAGACACTACAGCAACTGGAACACACAAGACCATAGCAGAAAAGAGAGTCCATCAAAGAGTCCAGGGAGGAGACCAGGCCTGGTGACCACCCCCCACCACACACACACACAGGGCCCCACCCCAAGCCTGCTCACTCCCAGCCTCGGTCACTCTGCCGCCACATAATGAGCTGCTCTTCTCAATTTTGGAGTCTGAGGACTGCAGCTCATTAAGGTTTGGACTATGTTACCAGGGAGCATCCCATAATTGCATAGCTCGCCTGACTCTCTGTCATTAGCTCTCTGAGCTCCGCCTCTCCTATTGGATTTGCTGACTGACCCCAACATAAAAAGTCTGGTTAAACAAGGCAGCTCTGGCTGTGCGGTAGGGGCTCCAGCCATCCTCAGCCATGAACTGGGAGCTGCCACATCACTCTGCATGAAATCTTTCTTCTGCAAGCAGACAACTGATCTTATTACTCACACAGAGAACTGAAAATCAAGTTCAAGGCCGCTGGACTGGCAATGAGTCACGTTCCCTTCATGTGGAAAACCACCGGTCAAGACCTGGTAGTGCCTCTGGCCAAGGAGCCAGAGAGGCAAGGGCCAGGACTGGGGTTCAGTTTCCTCTGTCTCTATGGTGAACTGGAATCTGAACCTGGTGCTATGAAGATTGCCCCTGTGCCTGAGGAGCAGGAGGGCATCTCAGACAGAAGTGGGCCTCCCAGGAGTTCTACGCAGGTCCTGGCAGATGACACCACCCCAAGCCACCCCACTCACTGCTTTCTAATGAAGGCTGTCCTGGACATCTGGAATGCGGTGACCAAGCCCCTAGATTTGGGCTTCCTGGAGTCTGGCAGGCTACAACACAAAGCCAGATGCAACCACAATCATCTCCATATTCGCGACTACTGGCCAGAGAATCTTTTTAAAGCTGGAATTATCCAGGGTGGAGTTGGCATAGGGGAAGTGACTAACAAAGTCTCCTTCTAAGGAACTGTGGTATGAAACAATGCACTTGCCCCAAATTTTCCCTGTTCTAAATTTCTAATTTCTCTCCAAAGTCAGAGGTAATTAATTACCTACACAGAAAAAAAAAAAAACAGGAAGGACACTCACTATAGAGCACTATGTGTGCTCTCTGCCTTAGCCCTCAAAGCACCTTGATAGATGGAGATTGCCATGCCATTATACAGATGTAGAAACTGAGGCTTAAGAAATTGCATAACTTTTCCAAGCCCTCACTGCTAACAGTGATAAGAAAGCTAACACTGATGGAGTGTTTATTACATTCCAAGCCCTGTGATGAGTGCTTGATTCGATCCTAATTGTTCACTTCACCCTGAAAAAAAAGGTCTAAAGGTTACCATAACTGAGATTCGTTAGATTAAGTGACTTGGCCAACATCATACAGTGAATAAGAGGAAACAAACATCCAGGCCCTGGAGACCAAAGACTTGTTCTTGACTGTCATGCAGGGTTATTGATGGTCCTCAGCTATGTGGCTGATATTCAAGCCCTCAAATCGAAAGCTTGGGCTCTTTCCACTGTCCAAGACTGGCCTCACGAGACAGATTGCTGCCTTTGTAAGGCTCATGGCCATTTGCAGTCAATGATTTCAGTAGCCATTTTTCAAACCCTTGCCTCACTGCTTCCTGAGAGAGTCTGGGGTGTGTGTTGCTAAGACTCAGCTGAGCCTGGTGTCATCATCACAGATTTCTAATGAATCTGCAGCAGGCACATGACTAGAGTAGGAAAGCTGGGGAGACTATTGGAACAGCGACACAGTAGAGTGACCCTCTCGAGACCCTGATGGCCTGGAGGTCTCCTCACTCCCTCACTGACCTTGCCCTCCCATGCCTTAGCTCTTAGATGGGCCACCTTCATCCTTCAAAGCCCGTCACTGAGGAAAGTCACTATGCTTGATCCTGTGAACACCAAAGGGAGTGATTTTCCTACCTCAGCAGACCTGTGCCTTGCCCTCTAGCTGACGGTACCAGTTCCTCATTCCCAAGCTCTCCCGCTGGCCTGGAATCTGACATCGTCCAAAACCTCAAGCTTAATAGAACATGGAATTCTGTGTCTACTCTCTTCTTAGCTCATTTTAATTTCTTTTCCCTTCAAATGAAACTTTGATTTGAAAGCCTTCAAAGACTAGAATTGAGATTTCTCTGCCTCACTTTTCTACCTGCTGTAGGAAATGAGATCTCCATAAAGGAGGGCTTTAATATACTAACAACACTAGAAATGGCCTTCAAAGTGTAACATGTGCACCAATGGACCAGGTACTGGTTGGGTGCTGGGATTACCCAGGGGAGATGCTTGAATATTATCTGCATGAGGCTGGGATCTTTTATTGCACAAAGACATATTCCTCCCAACTACAGTAGCTCCTGGTATTTCATGAACACTCAATAAACATTTAATAAATAACACATAAGCAAACACCTACGGCTCACAGTGCTACACATGACACTTTCAGGTTAACAGAAAGAACTATGAGAACACAGAGAAGGGGTGCTTGACCCAAGCTAAAGCATCTTAGCAGGTTTCCCAAGTTGATCCTCAAAGGATGCCCTCAAGTTCACCAGGAAGTGGAAGAGGATATAGTTTCAGGCAAGAAAAAAAATGTCATGTGCAAAGAAGTGGAGACATAGCATCATATCTAGGAGAAGTAGCAAGCTGTCAAGAGTAGCCAGAGGAATGGAGGTGGAGTTAAAAATGATTGGATCAAATCCCAAAGCTGTTGAACTGCTGGGATCCATTGATTTATTTGCATTATCCATCAAATCAGGGTACTCACTCCCATCCCATAGAACACTTCCAAGCAGCTTCCACAAAACCTAAACAGGGCACAACCTTAGGTGCCAGTAGGACTCCTAGACTAAGATGCCTTGCAATTTCCATCCCAGCTACAAGGTAAACACTAGACTCTTGTGTATTTCATAGGAAGGAATAAGAAAACCTTGTTTTAGTCAATGTTTAGCCAACTGTTTCCCAGCTCTATGACACTAAAGTAGAATATTTTTGTCCAGAAAAGGCACAAAACCATCCAAAATTCACTCATAGTGTCCTAGAATGTTCAAGGTGGAAGTGTTCCTGGGGGTTTGATCCACCTCCTCTTCCTCAGATGAAGAAACTAAAGTTCAGAATGAGAGAAAAAGAGAAGTATTGTCTAAAGACACCTGGCAGGAAGGCTGGAAGGCTGGACCATGGCTCCTAATTTGGTTGGAGAATTGCAGACTTTCTTTTTCCAATGAACTTAAAAGCAAAGACTAAAAGTATTTCTGAATTACTCTTTTTTAGAAGGAAAAAATAAATTGTCCAACTCTCTGACTCCTTAAACCAATTAAATCTTTGGCTCCCACTCAGAAAGAGTAATTAATCACAATAAATTTGTAGCTTACCCTTTCCCTTCAAGTGGCAATTTTCTATGAAATTTTTAACAATGAGAATAGCTTGCTGAAAACAGAAGAATGTCTTAGAGAAAGGAATAAAATTCAAGTTATTTAGCTTACTTTCTCTAATCTGAGACTTCCTTAGCCAAGGGTTTGTTGTTCATCCATTAAACATTATTAAACATTTATTAACTCAACTACCAGTTATTGAGACGCTATTGAGGTCACAGATGAACATCCCAAACTGTATACTTGCCACAAATCTGTGTCCATTCTAATCATATGTAGGAGCACAAATAAGAATCAGATATGAATTCAGCCCTCAGGAACTTTACTATTGAGTAGAGAGGATAACAACACACATTAATTACTATTGGACTACCCAGGGTCTGGCTCAAAGTAAGTTCTCCATCCCAAATAAATTTCATTTGAATGAATGAGTCTACTCATTTGAATATGAATGAAATTGTTTTGTTTCTCTGTTACATGTCATTACCACAGGAAGGAATGAGAAGCTGGGTGGGAGAATGAGCTTAAGTAATACAACTCAGGAAAGAAGGATGGTACAAAGGAGGCATGAGGCCTGAAGAGTATTGTGACCATTCCATTCCCCTTTCTGGGCCTCAGTTTCCCCATCATATAATAAAAAGAGGGCTCAGATGAGCTCTGAGGAAACTTCCAGCAACAGCATTCATGTTTCTATGATCCTTGTTCACAGGAGTGTGTGGGAATTTAAATCCAACCTAACTTCTTAAAAATAACTCTTAAATCATTGTCTCTCTGCCTTCTCAAGGTCACACTGTGTGTTTGTGTGTCTGTGGATTTCTCTTGGGGAATGAGAGAAGGGAGGAAATTCAGTTCTAGCTTTGCTTGGCCTGTCTTACAGCTTAAACAACAAAAAATATGCAATTACCCCATTGACAATTATAGTCTGCACATTTCACCACAGGCATAGAAAATGACCCAGCAGCAGAAAATCAGCCACAGACAAGGGGTGCACACATGTAAGCCATTATCTATTTGAAGACAGGCTTGCCTGTGACAGTCTCACTGGCTCAGGAAACCTGGATGTCTCCCCAGAAGGTCAGGGGCAACCCAGGAGGCCACCGAGACCAGCTGCAGCTACACCCAGCCCTGGTTCTTCTCAAACTCTAGGCTGAATAGAAACCATGTGAGAAAGTAACTCACTCACAGTGATAGGTCACAGATGAACGTTCCAAACTGTATGCTTGCCACAAATCTGGATCTGATCAGGCCAAAAGAGAAGTTTCTGGATAAAGCATGAGTTCCATGAGGCAGGAACCATGCCGGACCGGGTCATAATCATATCTTCAAGCACACAGTACCATGCAAGGTATATGATCTGCATTCAGTAAATATTTGTAGAATAATTTTTTTAAGGCTAATGATTAAATGACCACCTGAATGAGTCATGGTTTTATTGTATAATGCCCCAGAACACAGTGGAAAAGACAGACTGTATTTTCCAGCACTCAGGGTTGAAGCACCATCTAGGAAATATATCTGAGCTCTGTTACTTATGAGCTCTGTGTTTGGACAAGTAACTTCACCCTGCCAAGCCTCAGTTTCTTCATCAGACAGACACTGTGTTGTTCTGTCCAGATTCCTATTTATGGAAGGACTTGCTGACATTGCTGCCAGGAGCATTGTTAGCTGAAATCCTCCAACTGCCAGGCCCTCCAGATATTGTCTCAGAAACACCTCACCTATATTCACACAGTTCCTAGAGCTTCCCACTTGCTAAAAGACAAGCTTTAGACAAAGCAAATTTCACAAAGTTCATCTGAGCAGAGAACGATACTTAAGTCGGGCAGAACCAGAAAGCCTCAGATAGCCTCGCTGCAGTACAGGCTGAGAACAGAAGAAAAACAGAGAAAATACATTTACAGGGTAGAGTAGAAAGACTCCAGCTAGAGAGTAGTTAGGGATCCATGATGGGTAAAGTCTCTGGTTTCATTTTATTATTTACACTGGGCTCCTGTTTGCTTAAATTAAAGCAGTGGAGTAGCCCCAGCCTACTCCCCCCTCAATTTTAAAAGTATATTTTAACCTATTCCAATGAAAGATCAAGGTGGGACCTGAAAGCCCTGGCCATGTTGGTCAGTGAGTAACAGCTCTTATTCCAAAGCTCTCCATGACATCAGCTGAGGTTGTCATCAAGCCAGCATCACAACTCAACTTTGCCTCTGCCCAGCCTGCTTCTTCTCTCCCCCTTTCACAAGGGGCTCCCCAATAAGCATTCTGAATTCTGAGCTCCATCTGAAAGTCTATTCCCAGAGAACCTAATCTATGACTTTCTCCTTTGCAAAACAAGGATACTAATTATATACACAAGCCTAGTGAGTACTACATGAATAGCTTTGTGTGAAAATATGCCAGTCAGGCCATTCCACAGCTCCCAGTGCAGAGGAAGGGGCCTCCTGGCCGCTGTTCTACCACTCCCAGCCCAGAGAGA